AGGGCAGTGTCACTGGCCCTCAATGTGGGATCCGAACCACAGCCCTGCTGCTCAGAGCTGGTGCTCCCAAGCGAGCTCTTAACCAGCTGAGCCACTTGGCTGGTCCTACGACAGCTCTTTTAACTAATGTGTGTGCACAACTTTAGAAACTTTCCCTGGGCCCACTTAATTTCTTTTGCGTTATGGTTCTGTCTGCTCATTGTTTATTGGCCCGGGGATGTGGCTCAAGGTTGTTGATCCCAGCTGCGGGTTCTGGTGACTACAGTATCACCCTATGTGACCACCAACTACAATAGTAATTGCTGGGTCATAGGGCATGTGCATCTTTAACTTTATTAGATAATACTGTAGTTTTCCAAAGTTGTTTTATCAGTGTATGCTCTCACCAGCAATGTATGTGAGTTCTCATTGTTGTATGTCTTTGCCAATACTTGGCATATCCAGAATTAAAAAATTTTTTCCAATCTGATAGTATGATGGGTTTTAATTTGCATTTCCCTGATTAAGGTTGAACATCTTTTCATATATATATATATATATATATTTATATTTATATATATATTTATATATGTATGTGTATATGTATATATATGCATATGTATATATGCGTATATATATATGACATTTGGATTTCATTGGTAAAGTGTTTAAGTCTCTTGCCTATTTTTCTCGGCGTGTTTGTCGTTTTCTTAGTGGTTTGTAGAGTTCGATATATTCTAGAAACCAATCATTTGTTATAACTGTTGTGAATATATTCCAATCTGTGGTGGCTTGTTTTTTTTTTTTTTCATGGTGTCTCTAATTTTAATATAGTTTTAAATTTTAACGTAGTTTAATTAATCAGTTTTTTCCTTTATAGCTTGTGACTTCTATTCTGAAGTCATAAAGATGTTTTTATATTTTTTCCTAAGTTTTAAAATTGACTTTCATGTCCTTTTCCATTTGGAACTTATATTTATGTATAGTGTGAGGCGGGGACCTATCCCCTCACCCCTATATTGCTTACCATTTGTGTAAGCACCATTTTATTTCAAAAGTTCTTTTACCACTGATCTGAAATGTCTTGTCAAGTTTCCATATATGCATGAGTTTGTTTCTGGGCTCTATTCTGTTCCGTTGGTCTTTGTCTATCCCTGGGGCAATTCCATCCTGTCTTAATTATAAATCCTTCATTTTATTATTTTTCAGGATGTTTTTCTTCTTCTCTTTCTTTCAACCCTGTTTCATATTTTAGGATCAGCTTATGAAGTTTCGTGAAAAGTTGTTAGGATTTTTATTAGAATTTCATTAAATCTGTATATCAATTTGGAAGGAATTGACCTTTGGGATATTTAATCATCCTATCCACAAATACAATTTCTTCCCATTTTTACATTAAGAGCTTGATATCTGTTGTTAGTTTTATTTTTGGTGTATATTTTGAAATACTCTGTATATTTAAATATATGTGCATATATATTTATATTTAAATACTGTATATTAAAATAGTATATTTTATATGTTTAAATACTATATATATATTGCTATTATGAATGGTATATTTTTAATTCACATTGTGTTTATTAGCAGTATAAAGAAATACATTTAACTTTTATATATTGATTTTTGTATCTAGCAAATTTGCTAAATTCTCTTATTAATTCTAATACTTTACCTGTTAGATTTAATTGAAATTTCTATATAATCTACATTTAACATCAAAATAATACAATTTAGTTTCTTCAAATCTTTATTCTTTTTACTTTTTTCCCTTGCTTTATTTTGCTGCTGGAACCTTTAGTATAATAGACAAGAAGTTATAGTGGGCATCCTTATCTTACTCCTGATTTTAAAAAAGAATACTTGTAATATCTCACTGTTAAGTTGTGTGTGTGTGTGTGTGTGTGTGTGTGTGTGTGTATGTGTGTGTATTAAGAAAACCTTTATAAGATTAAGTTCTCTTTTTTCCTAGCTATGAGTTTTTATCATGAATGGGTATTGAATTTTATTGATTACTTATTCAGAATCTATTGAGATAATTATATGAATCATCTCGTATTGTCTATTACTGTAATAAACCACATCAATCAATTTTATTTTATGATGAAATATAACACATTAAAAAGTATATAGACTATATATACAGTTTAACAAATAATTGCAAAGTAAAAATTCTTGTAACCATCACCTAGGTAAAGAAATAAAACTTTATTAGCACTCCAGAAGCTCCCGTACCCTTTACTAGCTTGGATATTAAATACTCAGTTTACGTTCTTTTAAAGGATATCCTAGGATGTATAATGTGCATATTTAAATTATTAAATCCAAAGTTAACAACTTTGCCCTCCTGGATAATAGAAAGCCATTAAATGCTTTAACTTTATTTACTCTTTCCCTAATTGTGTTATTGTGGGGTTTTTTAACCACATTAAACATCATTATTATTATGTATTTAGGATTCTTTCTTTTTACATAGGCATTATACATTTTCTTTTTTCTTCATTCTCATATTTAGGTCTTCCCTCTGCCTGAAGTGAATCATTTAAAAAAAATCTCCTTTAGTGAGGAACTGACCGCTGCTGAACATTCAGTTTTTACCTTATGACGTCTATTTTGCTGTCGTTTTTAAACAATATTTTTGTTAAGTATGGAATTCTAGGTAGGCAGTTGTTTTCCTTCAGCACATTCATGATCACTGTCTACTATCTTCTAGATTCCATTGTCATTGAGAAGTCAGCTGCTGTTCCTTTGAGGGTAGTCCTTTTTTTTTTCTCTCCCTTCACACTGCTTTTGTGAACTTTTTGTTCTTAGTGTTCTACAGTTTCACTGTGATATTATGTCTCACTAATGAGTCATGGTCCTCAATTGGGAATATATTGGTCTATATGATATTCTTTAAAATTTGTTGTGATTCAGTTTCTAGCCTAGTAAGTACTCAGTTTTCATAAATATTCCATGTACTTGAAAATTAAATGTGTTTTCCAGTTGTCAAAATGGTACCTGAATCAGAAGTAGGCTTTCCATACTTTCCTTAATTTCTCTTAACCTCTATGGATCTTTGTTACTTTGTGGATAATGTCTTCATTTCTCTCTTCCAGTTTACTAATTCTGTTTTCAGATATGTCTAATTTATTAAATACATCCACTGACTATATAATTTCAATTTTTATATTTTTTATTTTTAGAAGTACTATTTGGTTATTGTTTTTAAATGTACTATTTTCAAATTTTTCAAATTTACAGAAAAATTGCAAAAAAAACAGTAAAGTGAACATCCATTTATCCTTCACCTACATTCACCAACTGTTAACATTTTGCTATGTTTGTTTTAATTGTGTGTATACTTTTAATTTTTGCTGAACCATTTGAAAGTTGCAAACTTTAGAACTCTTCACTCTAAGTACTTGAGCATACTCATATATCTCCTAAGAACAAGAATATTCTTTTATTTAATCATACGTAATTCAATTTTTTCTTCTACCACCCAGAGCAAAGACATAGTTTGTTGATGGTCTTCCTTTGGGGGCAGTAATTTTTCTAGTTCAGCCTTCTTCAGAGAGTGTCACTTTGCATGGACTCTAGGTTTATTCTCTTTTCTTCCTCCATATATAACTTTCACCAATACATCTCACCCCAACCTGCCTAGTCTGTTAACACCCAGAACTTTGGTCCATTGGTTTTTACAGTGTTGTACCCAGAGCAGCAGCATCACCATCACCTGGGAATTTATTAGAAATGCAAATTATCAAGCCCCATTCCAGACCTACAAAATCAGAAACTCTGGGGGCAGGGCTCAGTAATCCACATTTTAACAAGCTCTTTAGGTGATTTTTACTCACAGTACTTTAGTCCAGGAGTGGCATACTTTTTCGATAAAAGCATAGTACATATTTTAGGCTTTGCAAGCCATGTGTTTCTGTTACAAATAATCACTTGTGCTTTTGTTAGCCACTGACAGTGTGTAAGTGCATGGATGGGTGTGGCTGTGTTCCCATAGAGCTTCATTTACAAAACCAGGCAATGGCTGGATTGGACTGGTAAGCTTTAGTTTTCCAACCCCTGCTTTAGTCCATCAGAGATCTGCAGATGACTTCAGGCAGCAGTTGGCTTTAGAGCTCACTTTTCTGGATTTGTCTTTCCCATCCTTGTTTTTAATCCCCTGAGAATTTTTCTCTTTCCTCTTCAACTGAGCAGTTAAAGATACACACACACACACACTCATTTTTTTTTTTTAATCAAGATACCTAGTCAGAAATGGGAGTCTGTTTTTAGCATGCTTTCAGTTAACTCTATATCATACTGCTTTAACATTTTAATTCAAACAGACTATAACTTACTTGTAAGGGTGATCCACAAGTACCTAGTGTTGAATGGTTTTGGAATTACAGAAGAGCTGGAAGGGTTTTCATCTAACCTCTTGTTTCTACTGAAGCAGAAACTCATGATCAGAAAGGTTACAGAGACTTGCCCCAGATTACATAATTAGTCATTTTCAGAATCCTCACTAGAACCCAGGTACTCCTGCAAGATCAAGATAGCTTGTGCCTCCTTCAGTCTTAGCACAGTAAGTTCTGTAGTTTTTAAAAACTGTATTCTGATTTTTTTCCTATTGTAATTTTTTTCTGATTTTCTCCCATTTCAGGCTGGGATAGAAAATCGTCAGCTGGATACAGTAGATTTCTTTTTGAAGAGCAAGGAAAATCTTTTAAATCCATCCTCAAAATCTTGTGTACCCGATCAGTTTGATCACTTTCCATCCCATTTATATTTAAGAAGTAAGTAGAATAAATATAAATATGTCTACATTTGTACTTATTTTATCTTTTTTTATTTTTTTAGCTGAGCCATCCGCCACCTGTTGGCAGCTCAGCAGCAGCTCAGCTCAGGCCGGGAATCGAACTGCTGTTGCTCAGAGCTCACACTCTTGAGCGAGCTCTTAACCAACTGAGCCACTCGGCCAGCCCTTATTTTATCTTTTTGATTATTCCAATTATTGTTGTGAATTCCTATGACTTATTTACTTGCTAAAAACTCAGTCATGAGATTTTATATACTTTGTGGAAACTTGAGAGTTGTGAGAATCTATAAATATTCTGTTTCTAAGGGGGGTGTTTATTGTTCATATCCTGTAATGTGCTTCATATTTTTAGTATGCAAGGAAGAGATGATCTTTCATTCAAGAAATTCTGATTCAAAAGAGAATAAAATTCATTTGCAAAATTGCCTACCCTTGCAACTGTCTGAGATGTATAGTGACAGTGCAGCTGGCAGAGTTATGGATTGGGACTTACAAGAATTTTCAGCGTGACTCTTCTGCTATTATACATTACCAACACTTTTCAAGATTTTGGCTTTTTTAATAAACAGGAAAGCTAGCTTTTATCCTTGGACCAGGTAGTCATACAGATCCTCTCCTCAGAAGCACAGGGTAATAAAACATATTTTTCTTTCTACATACAAGTTTATAATTTTTTTTTTTTTTAGATTTTTTTTTTTAATTGGGGAATTGGGAGATGGGAACAGCGCTGGGGAATTGGGGGAAGGGGAACAGACAAGTTGCTGTCCTTTTGTCCTTCAGTCTAGTTGTGGAGGACGTTGCTTCACTGGCCCAAGTTGGCACCATCATTGCGCTCTTCCCGGGTGAGGCAGATTAGTTGCCGGCTTCTGGACGGCCGCGCACAGCGGCTGCTGGCTGCTCAAGCTGGCTGCTGGCTACACATGGTATCTCATGGCAACCCACTGCCACAGGGGCTGCAGCCTATGCCGTCGCCGGCGACTCAACGGCAGCCCAGCTCCAGGTTGAGCTGTTGTTCAGCATCTTAGCTGTAGAGGGCAGTGTCACTGGCCCTCATATGTGGGATCCGAACCAGGGCCCTCTGGCGTCCCAAGCCAGCTCTTAACCATCGTGCCACTCGGCCGGCCCCAAGTTTATAATCTTATAATTTTTTTTTACTTAAAGATATAGAGACATCTTGTTAATAATAGGTATACTTATTATTTATGGGATTAATAGACATTTGGTCCTGTCCAAAATGTTCACGGAGACATTTGGTCAGTGCCAAAAGCTCCTCAAAATTTCGTCATGTCCAAAACATCCACCAAGACATTTGGTCCACACCCAAAGGCCCTTGAAATTTGGTCCTGTCGAAAACTTCCATGAGCATGTTTGGTCCATGCCAAATTGTCAAGCATGAACATCCCTGGGTTCAAACAGACCATCACATTTATTTATACTTTTGGTTTACAAGATTAATACATAAAAAGTTCTGTCATGTTTTATCAGTCCAATAATTGTGTTGGGGTTGTATTGCCAATAAATAACCCTTCTTGCCTCGGTAGCCTAGCTAGCTGGTCATGGCACATGAGGTAGGTGAGTCGGCATGGACCAAATGTCTCCATGGATGTTTTGAACAGGACCAAATGTCCTGCAGATATATGGTGGCACAGAATTTCATTCTATGAGCTGTACCATGATTTACCCAACCAAACTTCTGTTAGCCATTTAGATGGATTCCAATTTTTACTATTATTTGCAGTGTGCTATAAATGTTGGGTATGTATAATTTCACATATGTACAGTTACTTGGGATAAATTTCTAGATGTGGAATTTCCAAGTCAGAGGTATATAATTTATACTCTTAATACTTCGATAAATTGTCCTTCAGAAAAGTTTTACCAGTTACGTGAAGAAAATGACAGCCTACTTTTTCCATTGATGTAGTGTTCTCGCTGACAATGAAGATGAGATATTTTTGTTTTAAAAAACATGCTCTTTTGTTTTGAGTGCAGAGTTTGGTCTCCTCCCTCTTAAATTACTAATCTTTTTTATGCTCCATTTTTTTTTTATTCTGTTCAGATTTATTTAAAAAAAGGCCTAGTTTGTGGTGATGAGTCGGGCTCCATCAGCGATTATATGGTCATTACTCACTTCTATTCTTTGGTGGTCTGAGATTTCTAGTCACTTCACTCTCACCTGCACTGCTCTGCCCTGAAGGGTAGGGGTATGAGTCTGGAAATCAGAAGCGTGGGAATAGTTTTACCTGCTCTCCCAAGATAAAATCCACATTTCCCATCATCCTTACACAGATACAGTTCTAGAGCTGATGCTGCGATAAACAGGATCACTTCATTAGGGCCTGCAGCTGGCAAATGCAGGATTCAAGGGCCCACATTCTTTGCATTCATCTGCATGTTTAAGAGAATGGTTTTGGAATCAGACAGGCATTTAAGTTCAAATTTTGGCCCTGCCACTTAACTTTCCAAATTATCTTGGGCAATTATTTATCCTCTCTCTGAACCTCAGTTTTCTCATCTGTAGAAAGCGAGCTCTATCACCTGCCTTTCAGGTTGTGGAATAAATGAGATAGCATTTATAAAACACCAAATACAATACTTAAGATACAGTAGGTGGTCAGCAAAATGATAGTTGCTAGTAATACCAGTAAATAATGACTAATAATAAATAGAACCACTAAAGTTTGCAGGTAATGAGACTTCATAAATATTTTGTGAGCTTTTTGCGAATAAGACATTGGTCCTTGTTTTATGTTTAAAAATATTGCAGCATGGTATTTTTGGATATGTTCATTTCATTGGAAGCATCCTAGTGTTCTTCATGTTAATTTCCTTGGTTCTTTCTCAGATGTGGAAGAACTGACACCAGCATTGGATTTACTTTGCTCAGCAATTAGAGAAAGTGATTCTGAAACGCAAAGCAAAAACTTCTCAGAACAATTGCTTAATCTTACACTGTCCTTCCTTAACAAACAAATAAAGGAGCTTTTTGTTCACAATGAAGGTAAGAATAGCAGCAAAGAAGGGTGCGATTGTCCTATTCATGTGTCAGGACAGGAAGATAAGTGGTCCTATTTTATGACCGAGCATAAGCTAGTTGGAGTGCCATTTGCTAATATTGGGTAAAATCAGTGTGTAATTGAGTGAGTGAAATGGGTTCTAACGCTGGGAAAGCTGGCAGATAGGAAGAATCATTATGAAGAGGGGTTTATTAAATCACAAAGCTACCTGTAAATAGGAAAAAGCTCAGATTTTTTTGTCTGAAATTTTGAAACACTTGAGTTTGAATTTTGACATTTTCTAGAATTCTTTATAAAAGCTTATGGTGTACTCTCTCTACACACACACACATATATTTGTACATATTTGAAATTGGTACATTGATGTTTTTCATAGAGCTAGATGAACATCTACAGAAAGGAGTGAACATTTTGACCAGCTACATTAATGAACTTCGAACCTTCATGATAAAGTTTCCTTGGAAGCTAACAGATGCTGTAGGTGAATATAATGTAAATGAAAATGTCCCAGAGGTAAAGGAGAGCACTATATGGGAGAAACTCAGCGTTGAGGTAAATATGAGTAATTATCCACTTTTTTATTTACCAGAGCCAGAGGATCTGAGAAAACAATACAAGAAACAGAATTTAGACTCTGTATACTTGTGATTCAGAGCTTTTGGCAAGGGTTTTAGGTTTCATCGATTTGGGGATCTCTGGACTTGACTTTAAATTTATGTCTACAAGCTTTGTTTATTTAATTCAGAATACAGGCAGGCTCATTCTAATGCCACATCTGCCCACTTGGATCCAGTGACAAACACCATCCCAAACCTATGTGAAGTGTCACTCCCTTAGCAACCCTCCCTCAGTGGCTAGGGTCTGGCACTTTGGACTTACATATTCTGCCTCATGTTTGAAGAAATCAAATTGCTGCTGGTGATTTGATCTTAGGAAACTTTTATTGTATGACATTATCACTTGGAAGAATATTCTATTTCAGTCCTATCTCAGATTCTAGTTAAGACTTGGCCAGTTCAATTTTCTGTACTCATCTGTTTGCCTTTCTTTTTATAGTAGAAGTTAATACAACCAAACTGTGCTAGATTAGGAACTGGAAGAATCCCTCCACACACATGGAGAGTATTGGCATTGGAAAGACAAAGACCAAAATAGCTTAACTCAGATGATCACAATCAATAGAGAGGGAAAGTGGTAAGGTGGGAAGCTCCCAGGTCCACAGGACTGCTGTTCTTGGGGTGGAGACACGGGGAAGTACCTGGCATGCCTACATTTTCTGTATCTCTTATTCATTCTCGGGCCAAAAATTACTTGATTTTCCTTCTACCTTTTTTGGCTTCTCTTTTCCAGTTTTCTTTAGAGGTTTCTCCTCCTATTTTCCCCTCCCTTTAATGTCCTTCAAGACCTCCACGGTCATCTGCTCTTTTTACTCAAAATCACTGATTTTTAATTTGGTGGGAGGTTACAGTCCACTTTGATGAAAACTGTGGACTCTGTCTACAAAAACATACATGTTAATGTGTGTATGTGTGCACATTCACACTATTTTGCCGTGACTTAGTGGGGTTTACAGACCTCTCTAAAGCCCCAGGTTAAGAATGCCTCCTTTCTATTCTCTCTTGGGTTTAGGTCTTCAGTTTGTGCTTGATTTCCTCTTACTTGGACTATTGCAGTAACCTAATGTCTCACTATCTTGAGCTTGAATCCCTTTCAGTCTATTCTCCACAAAGCTGCCTGAATATTCTCCCTAAAATAGGTATATCTGATTATATCACCGCTTGCTTTTGAGATCCTCTAGTGGCTCCACGTAAGTTTCAGGATAAAATCTCTCTTTCACACACTATGTCCTTCACAGTGGAACCTCTGCTTTTCTTTCACGTCACATCTGATACTCTCCCCAGCTTTTCCTTCAGTTATATTGAGTGATTTGGAGTTCCCTGAAGACTTGATGCTGTTTCTTGCCTTTATGCCTTTGCATATAATATTCCCTTTTTTTAGAGCACTTGTCCTCTTTTCTTAATATAGGTGTGTAACACTTGTCTTTAAAACTTTTACCTCTTCTAGGAAACCTTTTTTTGTCAGCCCTCTTATTTATATGCTCCTCTTCTGGACCTTCCTCTCTAGCACCCAGGTATACCTGTATCCTCTCCCTTATTCAGTTTAATAATCTGCACTTTATTTGTGTGTCTTCCACTAGTCTAAAAGCTCCTGGAGAGCAGGGTCTGTGTTTCAGTCCACTTCATATCCCCTGTGCAAAGCCCCAAGTCTAGTAGTAGATTTCCAATAAAAGTTCCGTAGTAGGTTCTCAATAAATGTGTAAGTCCCATATTAATAATCATAATAAGGAAATAAAAAGGAACTTTTTCTTCCCTTTTCCTAGGAAATTATTGCCAATGCCATTTTAAACAACAAAATACCAGAGGCACAGACTTTCTTCAGGATTAATAGTCATTCTGCTCAAAGACTCGAGGAGCTGATTAGAATAGGCCTAGATTTAGTCTTTGACAATTTGAAGAAGAACAATGTAAAGGAAGCCTCTGAACTTTTAAAGAATATGGTGAGTAACGTAATCCGTTTGTCTGATTCTAAAGTCCCCAAAGAGAAGATCTCTATGTATTTAATGCAATTTCTGCAATATAAGAGTTGATTTGTATTCATAATTGTATCACCAACTAAGAAATTTGTGTAGCTTTTGCTAGGAAATAATAACAATAACACTAAGAAATGTTTTTCGGTACTAAGAACTTCCTTGAAGAGATTTTTGATTGGAGTTTCCATCATTTGCTCTCTGTTAGACTTGACACTTTGGCTAGAAGGAGACAGTGTTTCTCATAGAAGGCTTCACACATGACCAAGCATGCACAGGACCTTATTTTGGGGACATTCTGTATTGTTCATGTGACCCCTGATACCTCCATTTGAACTTTCTAATGGCTGATACCTTTGCTTCGTGCTCCATGGTTTTACTTCACTTGAGAAGGGGAAGTCCTAGAGGTAGGGCTCCTGGACTAAGCTGAGGTCTGGCTCTGATCTTCACGGCTAAGGTCTTGCCTGTGGTAACTTTCTGGAAGTCCAGAGGAGAGATACTATATGCGGGTTGTTATTTGCACTGACTTTTGTTTTCAAGTGAATCATCATAGCAGATACCTGTAGTTTTGGTACAATAGTAACCTGGCATTATGTTAAATTGTTCCATGTGCTACCTTTGTTCTGGCAAAATGCTTCAGGACTTTAGGGATAGGCAGTAAATATGTATGATAAATAGAAAAGTAAATGTTCACAAGAGCAGGAAAGCTGTGGAAATCTGTACATGTCTATAATAGGGTACTTTTGTTTCCAACATATATTTATATTCAAAAAAGCTCCATTACAAAACGTAAATTTTTTTTGTTCTCTGTGTTTATTATAGGGCTTTGATGTAAAAGACCAGTTGCTCAAGATATGCTTCTATACAACTGATAAAAATATACGAGACTTTTTGGTAAGTAAAGGTGAGATTATGTGGTTTACATTTTCTAGTAAACCTTGGTGTGAAGCTTCAAAATAAATTATTTTAACATTCTACAAATGTCTAGTTAGTAAAATACGACAACTCCATTGTCTCTTTAAAGGATTGTTTTACATTTGTGGTAAAGGAGAATTTGTGTGAATATATACATTACCTCAAAAATTCAAAATACGATTCTTAAATGGCATTTATTTTCATGACATTTGTCTTGCAAATGTACTTGATTTTTGTGAGATCACTGCTTTCATTTAATTCTTATTCAAGGTTAAAATTTTAAAAGAAAAAAATTACTTTTCTGAAAAAGAGAAAAGAACTATAGACTTCGTGCATCAAGTTGAGAAGTTTTATTCAGAACATTTGCAAGAAAATATGCAGATCCAGTCCTTGTCCAGGTAGTCTCATTAGCTCCCTTTTGATAATATGGGAAGAATATTGTCGACTTTGTTTAGTTTGTAATTAATTGTTAATGAGCACAGATGTCTTCTGTAGAACTGAGTTTACATTCCCTATGCAGATAAAACTTGTATCATCCATAAGTGACTCAGGAATTTCCTGTTATTTCAATATGTGCATAATCAGATACATATTTTTAAGATAATAAATACGAAATTAAGAGCGTTAAAGTATGTGTTCCCCAAAAGGGTAGAAGTTTTTGAGCAGATGAAAAGGAATGATGCTTTTTCCTCCACAATTAAAAAAATTTTTTTATATCACTGTTTTAGGTATTGGATAAAAGAACACGATTTTTTCAAGCATAAATCTGTTTTGGACTCATTCCTGAAATACGATAAAAAAGATACATTTAACAAGCAGAACCATAGAATTGCGTTAAATTGGGCTCAGTGGTGGAATCAACTAACCCAAGAATCCATCCTTCTCCCCAGGATAAATCCAGAAGGCAAGTGTGAGACAGCCTGAAATTTGAACATACTGAATGAGTATTAAATTAGTCATTGGTATATTTCAGTGTCTTTATTTTAGAGTTCTTTTAGGCAGAAAAATAGTTGCTTTAATATGCAAGTCATTAAGACCACTTTCTTATCTCAAGGTTTATGTAAGGGATTTATAAAGTGATAGTGAAAGAGAAAAGTCATATGATTCAGTGAATTGAGATTTCAAGCCTAGGTTCTCTTCCCCGCTTCAAAATGACATTCTTTATTTTTCCAAATAGTCTTGGAGCTGCTTCTTGTGTAAACAGAGGATCTGTATTACATTGGGGCGCTGGGTAATAACTATCAGTGGTAAACACAGGTAATTCATAGGATGTCAAATTCATGTTTACTATTACAGCCAAAATTTGTATTTATATTTAGAAAAAGAAAAGGGAAAAAGAGGGCTGAAAAGATAAATGAAACACAGTTAATTTCCAAGTTTCCTTTAACCACTATAGTAGCAACAAGCAACATTTAGCTCTTCCTCCAGCTGAAGTATTGATTATAAAGTGAACAGCAACATAAAAGAGAGAAATAGTAAAAGAAGCAGAGGGCCTGAATAATTCATGTTATATAAACATTTGTTCAGATCGTCATATTTACTCAGTTAATGAGTGTTGAGTTTTGTGTCAGTGATCATAATTCATTGCTATTTTAAAGTGTATTTTGTTCTTAATGTAGAATACAGATCATGTTCTCCCAAAGCCCTCTGGAGATACCTCACAGCTCGCCATGATTGGTTAAGCATTATCTCGTGGATTGGAGAATTTCAGGCCCAGAATAGTTATGCTTCACTTCAGCAGAACAAATGGCCCCCGCTGACTGTTGATGTTATTGATCAGAATACTTGCTGCAACGATGACATGAGGAATAAAATCTTAGATGAGCTGGCCAGGTACTGTAACTGTGGGGAAGAGCAATAAAAAATAATTTTGTAATGTTTCCTTTGAAATGCCCATGAATCCAGTTGAATGTTTCATAGTATTTTAAAATTGAAGGGGCATTCTTGTATATTGAGATTTTAAAATCGCATGCATTTAGCATCATGGGGTATTGAATAGGCTCTCAAATTCTAGATGAAGATTCTTTTCAAAACATTGTGTGTGCTTTGGTGTAGAAGTGGTAAGCTGTCAGTGGGGCAACAAGGACCAAGTGGTGAGAGCTTAGATGAGGATAGGTTGGTATCCTATAATGTCACCCACTCTCCTTACTGCACAAGTATGCTGTGTATGGCCTTGAACTAAGGAGGATTTCTCGCATAAGAAATTAGTGAGGGGAAGGAGTTCCTGAAATAATAAAGTTTAAACTTTAATTCATTTCTAAAAATAATTCTGTTAGATTGAACCATGTGAACTTGCCATTTGTGGGGGTCAAAAATGGGTGAATATCAGCAGTTTCATATAGTTCAACCTAATCTGTCTTCCTAAGCTATCAAAATAGTATAAGGAGACTTATAAATTAACATGTATATTAATTTATAAGTTTCTTAAACTTATTTCCTGTGTGTTACTTTATATTTATACTCATTGGGGAAGTATAGTTGTATTGTCCTACTCAAAAATGTAGAGAATGACGGCCGGCCAGAAGCCGGCGACTGATCTGCCTCGCCCGGGAAGAGCACAATGATGGTGCCCACTTGGGCCAGTGAAGCAACATCCTCCACAACTAGACTGAAGAACAAAAGGACAGCAACTTGTCTGTTCCCCTTCCCCCAATTCCCCAATAAAAATCTTTAAAAAAAAAAAAAAGTAGAGAATGAGATCCAGAAAAGTTACGAGCTTTGCCCGATGCAGCACTTACAGGCTTCAGTTTTTTTACCCCGTCTGTGTAGTCACTCTTCTTTCCAGTGAACTAAATCCTCTTATTTTTGTTTACTAAAAGTAAAATTTCGTATAACTTACATGCTTATTAAATATTTTGCTTAATATTTGATTGTTTAAAAAGCCAATATGTGTACGATTTAACATGAATTATGACATTAATGAATTAACGATATCTATATGAACAGATTAAAGGGGAAAAAAATCATACCACTCTGATAGATACAGAAAAGCATTTGATAAAATTCAATATCTATTTATAATAAAAACTATTAGCAAACTAAGAATAGATGCAACTCCCTTATCTTGAAAAGGGTGTCTAAAAATATCTATCTAACATTATATTTCATGGTGAAACATCACAAGCATTCTCTTTAGACTTGGAACAAGACAAGCCTGTTATAAATTCTTCCCAAGTTGACCTTTAGATATAGTACAATCTCAATAAAAATTTCAACAGGTTTTCTTCTGGATTTTGACAAGCTAATTGTAAATATTTATTTGGAAATGCAGAAGGTCAAGAATAGCTCCAAAAAAGAACTAGCCCTACCAAATATCAAAACTTATTCTAAAGCTATTGTAATTAAGACTGTGGGAGTGTTGGTGCAGGGATAGACAAATAGACAAATGTGCTATCGTTTGAGTGGTGGTTATGTGGTGTTTCTTTAAACGCTACATAATATATCTTCTATACTCCTTTGTATGGTATGGATGATGTATTTAACAGTAAATTTGTAAAAACTATATTTAAATGCAGATTTCTATTCATGTTTAGTAGTTGGTCTATTTAAATTATTCTGCTTTAGTTTCTTAATGATTTTGTTTCAATATTTTGGTGAATTTCTCATTGCTTAAAGCATCTATCTTCAAGAGCTAACCACTGTTGCCGCACTGAATTGTACAGTTCCAGTCAAAAACAAAAAAAATGGATATAGCTTAGTTTATATTTTTGAAATATTTAAGATAACTTGAGATTTTCATTACTACCTTTAAATACTACAATGGTTCAGAAGCCATTATTGGAAACTGTCAAAATATTTGTCTCAGTGTATTTATAGAGTAAGAATTGGCAGTCTTAATTTGTAGATACTTTTTTTTAAGAACAGTAAGTCCTTGCTTAACGTTGTCAATAGGTTCTAGGACTTGAAGCAAAACAACATATAATTGATGCCGGCAGAGTGAATCCCCCAGAGTGAGGACTCAAGCCCTGGGCCAAGAAGGGTCTTGGCCTCACATAGGAAAGAATTCAAACATGAGCTGATACAGAGTTCCAAGTGAAAATAAGTTTATTTAGCAGAAAGTAAGGAGAAAAAGGCTGCCCCATAGACAGAGTGGTGGTCTCTGATCACTAGTGGAATAGAGACCCCTCTCTATCCGCTGGGCTAGGGTTTCTTTGGAAAATTTCTTGGTATGGGAAAAGGAGACAAGAACAACAGTAAGTTTATGTTTAACTTCTGTAAAGTACAAGAAGAATAGGGGCAGGCTTATCTTGAACTTTTGTAAGGTACAGCTTGTGGCTTGTTTGTGGTTTAACTATGGGAATGGCCATAATGGAATCTCTTTGCTCAATAGGTTAGGATGGTTTGTTCTGTGTGATTAACATCTGCCTGAGTTCTGTGTCTTGGAGCATGTAGGCAGCAGGCCTGTAACCCAAACCCCAAGTTTCTTCTTTTGTAAAAATAGTCCTCTTGCCCCTATTATTATGAGACCAATTTTACCATAGGCTAATTGATATAAACATGAGTTAATTTCCTATGGTACCTCATCAACATTATAAGTTATAACGAAATGACATTGAATGAAAGGAAATGATGTTACTCAAGGACCTGCTGTAGTTGAGTCTTAAACTAATGGAAGTTGTTTGATGTGCTCTGAATCTAACACCTTTTTAACTTGCCATTTAAACCTGCCTGATAGGAATGGGATTTTTCTTGCATCCGAACTAGAAGACTTTGAACTCTTCCTCCTAAGGCTGAACCGTATTGGGGGTGTGATGCAAGATACCCTCCCTGTTCAAAACTACAGGTCCAAAGAAGGTTGGGATTTCCATTCTCACTTCATTCTCTATTGTTTGGAACACAATCTGCAGTATCCTCTTTTTGTCTATCTCGACTGTTACAAGTGAGTACTGAGAATCGGTTTGTCCTTGAGCAGACCTTCACATTTCCTCTTTCAATACGACTTGAATATGACTTTTAGGAAAATATTAAGCATTCACATGAGGAATACTGATCTTTTTAAAGTAATTCCTCCCACTGCCACCCTTGGTACATACATGTTTTAGCTCAATGTTGCATTCAGCTGAATGCTTATCATGTGTTTTTTGGTGATGTTAATTCTGTAACATCTCTGTTAACCTTTTAAATGACTAGAGATTAGACTAAAGTGAAAGAAATGCTTTAAAAGTTTAAAAGAGGAAAATTCTAAAGGTTAACTTGGGGTTCTTTGATACTTTCATTACCAGGCAAATGCTAAACATCTTTGAATTCACAGCCACTGCAGGTTGTATATGCTCTAGAAGTTATTTTTAGATAGATTAGACAAGTAGACAGGCATCAATATATACCTACCTAAGATCAACCTGCAGAATCATACCTGTGGCCAGTGTTAATTGCTATTGGGTCAGTAATAACAGTAACAGTAGTAGTCGCTAATATATGTGTGCTTACAATATTCTTGACACTAGGCTACGTGCCTTACATGCATTATCTCATTTAATCTTCACAAAAACCCTGGGAGGTAATTACACCTATCTCCATTTCACAGATGAGGAAACTGAAGCTTTCAGAGAGACTAGGTGTGTTACCTAGGGCACACAGCTAGTAAATGGCAGAGCCAGATTTAATTCTACTTATGTTTGATTGTAGAACCCACTTTCAGTATGCTAATGAGAATATTTTGTGTAGTAAAGACTAGGAATTCAAACAGTATATATCTGGTTCATATCATTGAGGCTCACTTAGACTCAGAAATGTTTTCCTCAAAGCTACTGGCAAGAGAAGATTTAACAGCTGTATTTTCAAAGAACCTGTTCTGAGCCTTAACTCCTGGGTCCTAGCTTCTCTGTAGTTGTGAAAGGTTTTTAAAAACCTCTTAAGTTTGAAAATGCTAAAGAGTTTTTGTTGTAAAAAACAATAGAATACAAAGTATCTTAAAGTAAAGGTATCTGTTAATTTTACACAGAGCTGGTAAAATTTCATCGTGGTAGTAAACACATTTTAAATAATATTATCTGTCTCTAAAATGTTCTCTATTTACAGATCATAATGAATATGTAAAACACAACTCCCACAAGAGTGGGAGTATGTTGTTATATTTACTTTTCAAAAAAATTTTATTGTTTCAGGTGTACAGAACAATGCAATAGTTATCCTTTTCACGCTCACAAAGTAACAACCCCGCTCCTCCATCTACTGCCCTCCCACCCCCGATATCATGCTTATCTATTACAATTCCATTGACTCCATTCCCACTCTCTACTCCATGTCCCATGACTATATGTATATATAATTATAGTTGACATACAATATTATTCAACATCAGCTTCAGAAATACAGTGCGGTGGTCAGGCCTCTACACCGACTATGAAGTGGTCTCCCTAACAAGACATGAGTTGTTATATTTACTTTTTAATTCCAAGGTTCTTTTTTAAAAAAAAAAATGCTAGTTATCATCTGAGTAAACATGATTGCAAATTATCTGTCTTATCCTGTATGTTAATTAGTTTGTTTGTTTTTGTTTTATATACAGACTTAGTCCTACAAATTGTCCCTTTTTGGAAAAAAAAGAATTACATGAAGCTCACCCTTGGTTTGAATTTTTAGTTCAGTGTCGACAAGTTTCCAGTAACTTAACAGGTATGGATGCACTGTATTAAATACAAAAATTTCTCAGAATAAATAACTGGTTGGGTGGCATTTAACGTGTGACCTCTTTTAAGTAAATCATTTGGCTGTGGACAAATAATATCTGACCATAATCTAGGCTCAAGTTTTGTTTAAGAAGCAGAGACCAAAAATGTTAGCCTCTTGCCAGCCAAGAAAAGCCAGACAGAGCAGACAGTAAGTGTGGTTCTGTTCCCTTTCCCTGTCAGCCTCGTGCTCTATTCTCTTTGTATATCTCTCACCCTACCAGTTTATCACAAACTGAATTCCTAATCTCTGGCAGATTGACACCCTTTCTCCATGAAGAAGTGGTCTGTCTTCCAGGTGTCAGCCCTGAAATCTTTTAGTGAGGAGCTCCAGAGGAGTGAAAAGAAATTCACATGTTTGGGATTGTCATATCTTTTGTACTGGAGCTACTGACAGAGAGCCTTGCCCTGGTTATAATCAGATAGAAAAGCCCTGAGGGCTTAGCTGGTGTTATTTTAGAGGTTCGGGAAAGGGACAGCCAAAAAATGTCACCGACTTTTCACTTGTATGTAATGTCATTCCTTTCCAAATGAAGAATTTTTTCATAATGTGGTTTTTTGCTTTGTTTTATTATTTTGGTGCTGATTTTAAAATAATATATGTGCATTGTTAAAAAAATTGGAATCCACAGACAACTATTGAGAAGATAATATGTCTATGAGATAGCCTAGGCAGATAAGAGGGTCCATTGATAATTCTTGATATATTTTAATGTATTTTGTTTTTATTTTCTCTGTACTTTTTAAAACCTAGTCTGTATTGTATTTCATTCATCTAACAAATGTTTATCAAGCTCCTCCTTGTGACAGTCTGTAAGTGCTAGGGGTACAACTAGAAACATCTATATGTATTTGAATACTGCTTTTTTCATGTAGTAATTACAACATAAGAATTTTCCTGTGTTCTTTAGAGACAATGACCATTTTATATCTATATAATATTTCATTGTTTCGATGTACTCTTATTTACTGTTCTCTCATTTTTTCAACATTGAGGCTGTTTTCAGGTTTTTTCCTCCTATAAAGAATACTATTGCATATGTGTATAACTGAACATAAATTTTTTTGCCTTGTTTCAGATTATTTCTGTTTATTTATTTTAAGATTTTTATTTGGGAATTGGGGGAGGGAGCAGCGTTGGGGAATTGGGGAAGAGAAACAGACAAGTTGCTGTCCTTTTGTTCTTCAGTCTAGTAGTGGAGGACGTCGCTTCACTGGCCCATGTTGGTGTTATCATTGCACTCCTCCTGGGTGAGGCAGTCACTCATCGGCCACTGGACGGCCACTCATGGCAGCTCATGAAAGCTCACTAAAGCTCACGCCTGCTGCTGGCCAGCCCCACTGCAGCCTACGCCGTCGATGGCGACTCATGGCAGCCCAGCTCCAGGTCTAGTTGTTGTTCACTACCTTAGCTGTAGAGGGCACAGCATCACTGGCCCTCATGTGGGATCCGAACCGGGACCCTGCTGCTCAGAGTTGGCGTCCCAAGCCAACTCCTAACCAACGCGCCACTCAACCGGCCCACAGATTATTTCTTTAGTACACAGATAGGTTCCTGGATATAAAATTACTGGGTCAAAGGTTATACACATTTTGAAGGTTACTGTAATAAGGCAAGATTGTTTTCCAGGGGGTTTGTACCATTTTATCCATAAGTCCCAGTTTCTATACACCCTGACCAGCTCTATGATTGAGGATGATTGCTTTTTAAAATCATTGCTCTTTTAATAGGTGATATAGGCATCTAAATATTTTAATGTGCACTTTTTTATTGCTAGTACATTATATATTTTTATGTGTCAGATGTTTATATTTCTTCATTTGTAAAATTGTTTCTTTTTTCCATTTATCTGTTAGAGTCAGTATTTTGGGCATTGATTTATGTGAGCTCTTTATTGAAGACATTAATCCTTAGGTCGCCATTTGTTGTTCATTTCCCGCCTCCCCCTCCCCCCCCAGTTTATTACCACCTTTTAATTTTTTTGAGTAGAAGTTTTTATTTTTATGTAGACAAATCTTTCATTTTTCTCTTTGTGGTGTTTTCCTATTGCTTTTAAATTTAGAAAGTTCTTACTGTGGATAGAGTTAAAAATTAATTTTCTCAGAATTATGTAATTCTTAATTTATATTAAGGAGAAATACATACACTTTTATTTTCCAGATCCTAAACTGATCTTCCAGGCTAGCCTTGCAAATGCTCAGATACTGATCCCCAGCAACCAGGCCAGTGTAAGCAGTATGCTGTTAGAAGGGCATACCCTCCTGGCCCTTGCTACCACAATGTATGCTCCTGGGGGTGTCAGCCAGGTATGGACAGCACCTTTACCTATTATGGCAAATAGGACTGATTTTAAAGCTAGCAAAACTATTTATGGATTTTCTAGATATCAGGTGATATTAAAATGTAACCACTTAACAAGTATTTCATTTGATTAAAGAGCATAAAAAATGGGTGAATTTAAAAATTTTATATCATGTGTTCTTAAATTGAAAGGGAACTAATATATTGTATAGAGATTATTTTTTTCCTTTGTTTTCTCATGTTCCAGGTTTTTGTTTTGTTTTGTTTTTTTTAGCTGAGCCATCCTGCCACCTGTTGGCGCTCAGCAGCAACTCAGCTCGGGCTGGGAATAGAACTGCTATTGCTCAGAGCTTGCACTCTTGAGCGAGCACTTAACCAACTGAGCCACTCAGCCGGCCCTCCAGGTTTATTTTTAGGATAGAATCAGGATCTGTTTGTTCCTGGGAGTAAGTATACTTTAGCTCTGTGGCTTGGAAATTACTCTTTACTATTTGTCCTCTTGGAAAGGTAAAAAGGAAATCATAACTATTAGCTACCCATATGGACTCTTTTGAGGGCCCAGTGGAGATTTGCCCATTTCTCCTTTTTGGGCCTGGTTAGAGGAAACTTAAGAATGCTTTAAAATATCTAATCTTCAAAAGTTTCTTACTGATGCTAGCTTAATTTAATACCACCTCTTTTAAGATTATTGCAATATACAATAATATGGTTATTTATTCTTCTGCTTTTGATCACCTCTCAGATGTCAGTCATAGAATAACTTGAGAGCTGAAGGAGAATGACCTAGGAGTCATCTAGTCTAGTAGTTATTTTTCTTTTAAAATATTTACTACTTAATATCTAATTAAATATTTAATATTTAGATATTTTAAACACTGTAGTAGCAGAACCTTTTTCAAACAACTTCCACATACAGTTTGAAAACCACTGATCTAGCTGAACTTCCTAATTTTGTAGATGAGGAAACTGAGGCCTGATATTAAATATCTAGCCCAGGGTCACACAGGTAGTTTATCCTAGAACCAGAACTAGAATTATTGCCTTCTGACTCCATGTCCAATGCTGTTTTCACTACCCTGTATTCTCTCAAGCTAATCTTGTTTCACAAGTTCCTTGTGGTAAAATTACTTCAGTTTGGAGAAGAGGAAAACATTACTCTATACCATGTTATCTGTCTTTTTATTTAGGTTGTTCAGAATGAAGAAAATGAGAACTGTTTGAAGAAAGTAGATCCCCAGCTATTGAAGATGGCATTAACTCCTTATCCCAAGCTAAAAACTGCTCTCTTTCCACAGTACACTGCCCCTAGTGTCCTGCCACCCGATATTACACTCTACCACCTTATTCAGGTATAGTATTTAGGTAGCCGGTATTTAGGGATAACAGTCAGTGTTCAGCCATGGAAACAGAAACCACCTGGATTTTTCAAATGGAGAACGTTTAACATAGGGAATTACTTACAGAGTGAGAGCAGAACGGAGAAACCAAATGTGTGATGATGACACAACCCCAAAATTGACAAAGAACAAAACCATCAACACCTCTATGGCTACACAAACAGTGCAAGGACATGGTGTTTTTAGAACCCAGAAGTTGGAGCCATCTGTGGGAGCTAAACTCACAGCCAAGCTGCCTAACGGGAGCTGGGAACATAGAGGGTGGGGCTGGAACCTTGGAGGAAATGCCCCAGAAAACACAGAAGGAGGAAAGTATCTTGGCTTTTCTCCTCTTCCCACCTTTAATCTCCCATGTTCTCTCTTAGCTAAACTTATCTGCTAGCCAAAGGGCAGGTGGGCTTGGGAAGTGCAGTTCTCTGCAGTACAGGGAGAGCAGGGGAAAGGTGGAAATGGATCTGAGCGTACATAGATAGTTGACCTTCATATTTGTCTGCTGCATTCATCAAAAGTCACTCCATTATATCACTGATAACTCTGCCTCTTCTCAATGAACAGAGCTGTTTGTTTACTTAAATCAATGCTTCTTAACCCTTTTCAGGACAAAGACTTGAATGTGAGAGAGCTATGAGCCCTCTACACAGAAATATTGCACAGATGCATATAATTTTGCTTACATTTCAAAGGAATTCACAGATTCCTTGAAACCTATTCAGTGATCCTCAGTAAAAACACCTTCTTTGGTTCATTTCTCATTTCAAAGGGGTTTTGCTTTTTTTCTTCTGGGTATACATATTCCCATAGTGTTTTCAATTCAAAATAAGCTCTATAATTCCATACAGATCCAAAATCTCTCTTACTCTCACGTGAGGAACTCTTAGGGTATAGACTATTGCTGCTCAAAAATACGGTCCCCAGGTGGGTGCCAGTCCTTGAATTGCTTGTTGCTGAGATGAGATTAGCCTCTTGTACCAGAATGTAAATCTGTGTAGCTGCTAAGCACACTGTTTAGTTAGCAAGCTTGTTCTTTTTCTTTTTCTTTTTCTTTTTTTAACAAAGCAGGAATTCCTTAAAGAAGGAAGCAGTAAACTGGATTTATATTTATCCCAAGCTTACCTCATTGCAGACTAGTACTGGTATAAACTATAAGTGGATTATATAAAAACATAGTTTCACTACTGAAAGTGGATTCAATCAGCTTAAAACATACCGTATTTGCCAGCATATAAGACGACTGGGCGTATGAGACGACCCCCTAACATTTCCACTCAAAATACAGAGTTTGTTATATACTCGCCGTATAAGACTACCCCCTCTTCCGCACACCTTCCACACACCAAATAAAAGGTAAAACAATATCAGATTTGATTTGGCCCACTGAAGTGCAAACAAGCGTATTGTATTTCGTGTCACCACATAACCGTTTTGGCGATGTTGAGCCACCATGTCTGCTACATGTTTTTCGAGTTCTGGCCAGTGTGGGGTGCCTCTTCTTAATGCACACTTACCCCTTGGCATACTCTTTAATGCTTTCTCATTTGATTTCCAGTCCCGAACCATCTTTTCTGTTACTCCATATTGTCTTGCAGCAGCACAATTATTATTTTCCTTAGCAAAGTTTATAACTTTCAGTTTAAAATTTGCATCATACTTCTTTCTTTTGGCTGGTGCCATGATAGGGATGATAGGGGTTTGACTGGTCGACATTTTCTATGCTGTACTGTACAATGGTGCAGTATTGTGGTTGGCTGTTGGCTGTATACAAAGCCTGATTTGATTGGTCCCTGCTCCCTGTTTGCCCGCCCTGTCACTATAGCAGTCTGGTCCACCCTTGCATCAGCATCTCCCTGGGACCTCACTAGTGCGCAAGTGCGAGCTCTTCAACATTCTAACAGGCACCATGATAGCGCAAAATCGCGAATCTTCAATGCATATGTAAAGAAATATACGGTAACCTGAATTTACCACACTCGCAAAATCGCACACAGCCGAGCATACACCCAGCAGCGCTGCTGATGCCTGAACGGTATGTGGAATGAAGTGGGCGGGCATCGGGAGGCCACTATGGCACGGAGCAAGCACTATGGGCAGTCTATCTGAAGTGTACCTGGCGTATAAGACGACCCCCACTTGGAGGCATATTTTTCAGGGCCAAAAAATCGTCTTATACGCCGGCAAATACGGTAAGTAGTTTTAGATCCTTCTTTGTTTTGTTTTCAACTTGACTCATGCAGCTTTTTAGTCCTGTTATCTTCCTTAACAGACCACAAATTCTCCCTTGATTTAAAATAAAAGCTGCTCCCTCCTTAGACATCCAAATCTTGACTTAATAGTTCTGTTTTCTCCTGTATCCCTCCCACTATCTGTTTATAGTCTTTGCTAAACCTTTGGCCTAGAAGAATTTCAGTCACTGCTCCCTGCTCTCAAAACTTTTCTGACTGACTTGACCTTAGCTTGCTTTTTTCTTTGTTGTCCTTAATGATTTGCTCATCACATTTCTTTAACCTTTGACCTGATTGTCTTACTCATCCTTTCTTGACCAGCCCGTAGATCACCTTGTCATGTTTACATGATAACATTTTCTAGCTTCATAGTCTTCTTGTCTTTTGATTCCAACAGCATTTTAAAAGTCCATTTTACGTTCTAATTGATGCTGCTTCTACGGAAAGAGTGCTCTTTGCAGACATAATTTAAAGTGAAGAGAGTCTTTAAAAGGAACATAACCAGTTCTATTTTTATTAAAATAGAAAAGCGTCTCACATTCTTTTTTGTTTTTAGCCTTGCTCAAAGAATATATATCCCGAAAGATAAGGTTTTTAATTGCTTCGGAGAAAGGAAGTAGACCACCTGTTAACGCCTTTCATATAATTTTGCCTACTTATTTTAGATTCAATTAACTTTAACTCTGATTTGACTTTTCCCCTTTTTCAGTCATTATTACCCTTTGATCCTAGCAGATTGTTTGGCTGGCAGTCTGCCAACACACTAGCTATAGGAGGTAAGTCATTACCTGTACTTCTTGCCTTAGAAGCATTTTAGCAATGTTGATCACAGGAATTAATTTATATGTAAAATCAATGCAGTTTTTTTCACTGCTTTCTATTTTAAAAATAAAGGCACATTCCAACGGAAAACATTGTCTAGGAAACTGAATTGAAAACATATTTTGAGTTAAAAGTCATTGTATTCGGTCACTAGTGCTATACTTGCTGAGAAATATAATATGTACTTATCTGCTTAAATTTCTCCTTTTCCAAAAATCTCTGTTAGCAGTATCTTATTATAAAGGTTAAGAGCATAGATGTTGGCATTAGACAAATCCTGGCTCTACCATGTAATAACTGTATGACCTTGGTTAAGTGATTTAAACTCTCTTCAATTGCCTTTAAAATAAGTTTAATAACAGTGCCCACCTCTTATGTTATATTGAGAATGAAGGGAGACAAGGCATTTAAAAAGCTGTTAGCTCCTGGCACATGTTCAGCACCACATGCACAAAAACATTGCCGTAGTCTCTAGACCATAAGCATTTCTCTGGTTTATGTGCCGTTGTCTGTCTCTTTTTTTTTTTTTAGTATAGTTGACACACACATGTCATTCTTAAACTCCGCTTTTTATTTTTTTGTTTTGCATTTAGAATTAACCTTTAATATCATGTTACCTGTGGTGCCTCCACCTATATTACTCTAATGTAGGCTTCAAATTTATTGGGTTGTCGAAAAAGTCATGACTCATTTTTGCAACGAAAAAGATAGAAAAAATACGTCATGACTTTTCCGACAACCCAATAATAGTACTTTGCATATAATACACTGCCTGTAAATATTTATTGACATACAGAAAAATGAATGTTCTAATGTGTTAGTTCTATAAGTTTAAATTTCAATATATTGAATTTACCTAGTGTCCAGAGCCCATTGCAATGCCAAGCGTATGATAGATACTCAATAAATATTTGTTGAGTGCTTAAAAAGTAGTGCTGATTGCATTTTCAAATGAAAATACATGTTCTAATCTCAGTGAATTTACTAGAGAGTAGACAGTATCCCTTTCCTGTTCTAGTGCCTCCAACTCCATCACTTTGCCAGGGCTTTGACCTCCCTCTTGGAGATTGAGCACTGCTAGGTACATAGGGAAACACAGGAAATTGAAGGTATGGTCCCTGCCTGGTTTTTAGAAGTTTAAAACATATTTGAGCAAATAAAGCTCAAAGTAAATGAAACAATTATGAAAATACTACAGATTTATAAAATTGGAGAGTTGTATTTAATTAGAATGTTTACCAATTTTTCATATGGTTTTACCACTGAAAAGGGATGTAAAGTGACTGCCTGGTGAATTTGTTTCTGCGGCAGGCCAGAGAAAATTTTCTCTTGGGGTAGAATTTTCTTTTACACACAATCTTCACACTAGACCCCAACCACTAAAATTTTCAGGGTTTTATCTGAATAAAAACTTCAAGTTTACTCATTTGGCACCTGGAAGTACCATATACTTTTCATGTACTCAGCAAATATTTAACGAATGAATGGTTTATATGGAATTATGAGTTACCAAAGTTACTCTGATCTCAAAGAATACAGATAAGGCACGTGACAATTTTTTAACCTCAAAGGGGGGTGTGCTTTTAAGTAATAGCTTTGTAAGATGACATACCTTTAAGGTCTTTGTCTTTTTTTATAGGAACCAAGTCACAATATAAAGTCTTTGGAATTCCAGAGGAGGATGAAACTGTATTTCAGAAATAAGCTTTGAACTTTGAAAATAAGAACTCATGCATTATTTTCTAGAATTGGTTTCTTACCAGTTCAGAATGTTATTTTATCTCTTTTTGTAATCAGTAGTAAGTGGTTAAGAGACAATTAAATAGTAGGACTTGACAGGAGTGGTTATTTCATACTATTATAACTTCTCACGTCCAAATATCTTATGACTTTAAATTTCTCTAAGAGAAAAAAATTTTTTCTGCTATTTTCATGGGCACAGAGGAACTTGAAACTGAGCTACTCTGCTGGTCTTGGAAAGAGGATACCAACATGTAGATAATAAGGTGCTCTATGAATACAGCATCAGAAAATACAGCTAGTGATAAGAAAAGGAGGGTATTGAAAGGGAGTAAAGGATGTTCTCAAAGCATTTATTGGAGAAAGGTATATAGTGAGTGTTGGTCTTGGTGAACACAGGACTCATAAATATGTTAAGTAGGGATTTCATTGCATAATGTACTGGATGAATGAATTAAAAAGCTCCTTTTGCAGATCATTGGCAGAGATTTTGTAGCTTATTGCCATTGTGAAATTAAAGAATCATCAAATATAGAATTAAAGTATCTAAAATTACAACTAAGTTCAGTGGGGGAAAACATAATTTATAAGTTTTTATGCAGCTTCTCAGGTACACATTTTTGCATAAAATGAAGACTACCTTTCCACATTAAAATAAAATGATTACATTTTGGTGGTTCAAAGTGATACACAGTGGCACAAAATGATTTTAGCAACTAGTTTTCTTTTACCATTGCAGACTTAAGTTTTCCATGTACAAATCTGCATTTAATCGTGGTAAGGTGCAGTGGGTTAATATCGTTTCACTTCCCTCCCAGATGCATCGAGTCATCTCCCACATTTCTCTAGCCCTGACTTGGTTAATAAATACGCGATAGTGGAACGTCTGAATTTTGCTTATTATTTATATCATGGACGGCCATCCTTTGCATTTGGTACTTTTCTGGTTCAGGAATTAACCAAGAGCAAGACACCCAAGCAGCTGTGAGTATTTAAAACATAATTTGTACTCTTAATGAAAGGCATATCTGTGTATTTTACATGTGCATTAAAAAAACATACTGGAAACGTGTATACCAGAGTTAACACTGATTATATTTGAATGGTGATTTTTTTTCATTTGTGCTTTTCTGTGTATCCCAAGTTTTTGGTATTTAGCATGTGTTACTTTTGTTCATAGGAAAAAAGATTAAAATATATTTTAGAAGATAAATATTTTAAAATCATATTTTTAAAAAATGATCCAGGAGCTTGCCAAATGTTAGCATCTACTCTAAAGAGAGACTTCTATAATGAGATGTAAATTCTGTATTTAAGGTCTTTGTCTTTTATAATTCGCTTTTATAAAGCACAGAATTGGGAGGAATATTAAATATAATCAGCAGTTAAACAGAGATTTACTTTACTGGCTTGTTTTATAATTAACAAAGTATGCATTTGTATGGTAAAATATTTTAGAAGCTCAAAAGGGTGAAAAAAAAGATAAAAATCCCCCAGTGTCCTATCATTTTGCATAATAAAAAAAGTAGTTAATATCTTGTGTGTCTTCCCTTGAAAATTTTCTGTGCATATAAAAGTACATATGAGTCCTTTAAAATGTATGTGCTTTATGATGTCAAACTTTAGGTGGCATTAGTTTTTTTGGTAGTTTGTGGTACATACTTGTAATTGATAAGATCACAAGCTGGCAGTCTTTTGGAAATTCTACTCCGTGTTTCCTGGATGAAGTTAGAAGCAAGAATAATTTGGACTAAGAGTAGGTGTTTTAGAAGAAGGTAAAATATAAGGAAATGGGAGGGCTGTGGAGCCAGAAGACAGCTAACAGCTACGAAGAACCTAAATGGATGTGTGCAAGGGGCACAAAAAGGGAGGGAAGAAGAAGCCGAAATTTCCATGCGTCTGACACTGCATGTACCACTGATGTAATTCCATCTGCTTTTCCTGGTGAGAAAGTGTTTTCATGTGCTGATGTGATTTTGATTCCTTTATTTTTCAGGATCCAGCAAGTAGGGAATGAAGCTTATGTTTTAGGCCTCTCCTCCTTCTACATACCTTCAATAGGAGCTGCCTGTGTTTGTTTCTTAGAATTGCTTGGCCTCAACAGCCTCAAGCTCAGAGTTGATATGAAAGTGGCCAATATAATTCTGAGCTACAAGTGTAAAAATGAAGATGCTCAGTACAGCTTTATCAGAGAGTCTATAGGTACAGCACCTTTTATTTCTGTGGCTTGGTTTATTTTGAGGACAAGGAGTGAATAAATTTGTAGGCATTGAATTGTGAGTGGTTGGGGAGGAAATAGTTATATTCCATTGTCATCCTTTCCCTGCAGTGTTTTCCTTTAATTTCCTTCCTTGGGCCTTTTAATTGTGTACTGAAATGGCCCTGGGCCATACTCTTCAAACAGAAATGCCCAGTTCCTGACATTTTCTCTTGACCAAATTTGTTTATATCTCTTATAGCTGAAAAACTATCTAAACTGGCTGTGGGTGAAAAGGCAAGCAAAGAAGAATTGCTTGTTCTCTTAGAGGAAGGTATATGGAACAGTATTCAGCAACAGGAAATACAGAGGTTTGTGAGTTGCAGTCCTAACCTCTTTTCCAGCAAGCTTTTATTGTTCAATGTGTGTTTGCCTAACCTTTCTTCCAACACCTCAGATGTTTTCACCAGTTCCTGTAAACTTGATCTTTTTACTTATCCAGCAGATAACAGATACTCAGTAAATGGATAATGGGTTTTAACTGCATCTTACTATCAGTAAAAGGAGGGTAAAAATAACGATTTCCTCTTTAGAGATGGAATTTCCAAGAGATGGAGAGGAGCGTTGTCTCCTCCACTGCCCTGCTGTCAGGGAAGTCTCTGAAGTGTTACATGTTGAAATCATTTTAGAAGACGTGGGATGGATCTCAGAAAAGTTGATTCTGATGTCATTAATTTTTTTCTTACCAATGTACGTCAGCTGATAATGGAAGTTGAGGTGACCATCTATCCACAAAAGCCCCTCTCCTTATATATTCATGCCATCTTTTCTCTGTGCTATCCCCCTGGGGCAGGCCCAGCCACCTTAGACCCTGGGAACACACCATTCTTCTGTAACTCCTGTCACTGAGTCTCTTTTCAATAGCTTCCTGCTTTCAGCAGGAACAGATACTGTCCCCTTACTAAGGAAGCCCAGGTACCTGTCAGGACTCTGATTCTCTATGAATCATGAAAGATAATTAAGCACTTAAGAAATATTCTTGAGTGACTATTTCCTCAATTCTCCCAAAGATTGTACATAGCTAGTTTGATAGATACTTGGTTGATAAAAGGAATGAATTGTGCCAGCATGCTAATAAGAAAGCTATTGTGTGTTATGGATAAGAGTCCATTTTTGTTTTTTTTCAAAGCAGTCTAATAAATATTTGGAAATTTTTGAAAGGCTTTTTAGAGAATACACTGTAGTTTATTTAATTTTTACTAATTATTCAGTTTAAAACTAAAGCAATATTTGAACAATTTTTTTTCCTCTGTCACTCACACCTCCAATTACAGGTTATCCAGTGAATCTGGCAGCCAATGGGCATTAGCAGTACAGTTCTGCAGACTCCACAATATAAAACTGAGCACCTCTTACCTTAGAGAATGTGCTAAAGCAAATGATTGGCTGCAGTTCATTATTCACAGCCAGCTCCATAATTACCATCCAGAGGAGGTAAGCCACTGATTGTTGTCAGTTATTCAAGAAGAGGGTATTAGAACACTGCTTAGCAGAAAAATAGTGTTCTTTCTGTTGTGACCACATAGGTTTTTGTTTGATATGATACTAGTATTTTTACTAAAATTTCAGTGGGTTGGCTTCAGACAAAGGAATAGTCATTAGCACTAAAGAGATAAAGGAAGAGTTTTGTGACACCAGATTGCATATGGAAATTCACTCAAAATCAACAAACTATAAAATTATATGGTCACTTCTGACACAATTCAGGTTGAGAGAGAACAATTAATTTTGCCTATTCCTTTCTCTAACATTTTCAGCTCCAACTGAAATGGTTATCTGTTTTAATCACCTAATTTGTTTTCTAGGTAAAATCTCTTCTCCAATATTTCAGCCCTGTCCTTCAAGACCACTTAAGTCTGGCTTTTGAGAACTTGCCCTTAGTGTCCAATTCCAGAATGGACAATGATCAGGTCTGCAACAGTTCCCTCCAGGAACTCCAGAGCAACAAAGAAGAGATAACTGATTTCTTTGAAATTCTGCTCCGGTCCTCAGAGGAGCCAAACTCCTGGTGCTGGCTCCTGGCTGAAGCACTGAAACAACGGGCTCCTATTCTTAGTGTCCTGGCCTCGTGTCTCCAGGTGAGGCTCATGAGAAGCCTAAAGTAAGGACCCAAAGACCAATAGAAAAAGTGGGAAAGGATGGGGAAGGCTGACAATCAGAGAGGACATGGGGCCCCATCAGAAATGACAGCGAGGCTCTTGCATGTGTTTCCAAGGTCACTGCAACTTTTTATGCTTCTCCAGCTTGGGATTCAGGCCATCTAGTGCATTTTCTTGTGCCTTGACATTTAGTAACTTAATAGGTCAGAGCCTTGGTTGTTGGTTTGCAGTCAGAGAAGGAAGCTTTGGTAAACTGCCCACCATTTCCTCCTCTAGAGTAGACAGTCCCTTGATCAGCAGTTCTGTGGAAGGCAGTCATGTTTTCGTATACTTAGTATTTCCCTGACTTCCACATGTATCGTCTTAGTCTCTTGGCCTTTTGACCGGCCATACTCTACAGGATGGTTTATAATGCCCCTTGGTTGTTCATTAGAGTTTGTTTCATGCTTGAAGGCTTTTCAAGCCATTTTAACCAATTTATTGAGGTGACTTGTTCCAAAAAAGAAATAACCATCCCTAGTTGTAGCACTGCTGCAAACTTTCTCTGTCAGGTAACCCAGGCCCGGTTGTTATTTTATTTTGAAAAGTTCTCATCCAACGGCAGGATGCCAGTGCTATTCCTTGTCTCTGTGTTTGGATCATCACTTCTGTGGAGGACAGTGTTGCAGCTGAAGCAATGGGACACATTCAGGGCTCAATGGAGGACCACACTTGGGACCTTGAGGACCTCTCAGTCATTTGGAGAACATTATTATCAAGGCAGAAGAGCAAAACTCTCATCAGAGGTTTCCAACTTTTCTTTAAGGTAGTGATAATCACTTCATTTCTTTCCTGAGTTTAAAAGAATTACTTCAGAATATCCCATAGTGACTTTTTCAATTATTCCTATTCCTGGAATTTTTTTTTTTTTTTTTTAGCTAACAGCAATTAATGATAAGGAACTACCATTTATTTAGCAGAGTGCTTTCTATACATTATTTTAGTCAATTCTCACACTAATCCTATACAAAGATAATGCTATATGAGGATACTATGAAGTGGTCTTATCCTCATTTTACACAGTAAGAAACCAAGGCTTACAAAACCTAAGTAACATGCCCAGGGTCTCAAAGTTCTTTAGTAAGTGGTGTAATTACAGTTCAAATCCATACTTTCTAATTTCCAAACTCCTGTTCTCTGACTGAAAAGCTCCCACTGAAGTGATGGAACTGTATGGATTGATGCCACAAATAGCAGTAGGTGGGCAGGTCAGTGGAGCCCATTATCCAGGAGTGTATGTAGGGGTGTCCTAGCACCATCTAGTAGAACATGTCCTGCTCATGTGTGGTGGACCAAGTATAGAATAGACAGAAAATAGACTGTTGAGTAGGTGTACCTGGACTGAGTAGCTTTTCCCCAAAGGAAAAATAAATTTAACTTCCTTTTTAACATACATAATTTAATTCTACTATGGAGCTATTAAGAGTATTTATTTATTTATTTTTTCTTTTAATTATTTTTTATTATGAAATACACATTTTTTAGAATTACTTTCAGCTGTACAACACAGTGCAATAGTTATACTTTTTACCCCTCGAAGTGACAAACCCCCTCCCCCAATCTGCCGCCCCACTTCCCCCCAATATCATACATATCTATTACAATTCCCTTGCCTCCACTCCCACACTATACTCCACGTCCAATGACGATATATATATATATATATATATATTTTTTTTTTTTTCCACTTATAGTTGACAAGAGTATTTATTTTTTACTTTAACCTTATATTGGCATTATTAATGAGAAAATAGTATTAAGTTCAGGATTTTGTAATTTCATTCAAATTCTTCTTCAAAGGATTCCCCATTGCTATTGATGATGGAGATGTATGAACTGTGTATGTTCTTCAAGAATTACAAGGAAGCTGAAGATAAACTACTGGAGTTCCAGAAGAGCCTCGAAACAGTAAGTTGGAATTATCATGCTCTTTCTCACTGATCTGAAATTCATTGTAGTGGCCTGTTGTCTGCTGGTAGTCAGGATGTGGCAGCAGGGGAATAGCTGTTATGTGGCATAATTCAAACAAAATCATTTATTGTGTTCCAGAGATAGGGAGGAAGGCCAGGAGTTGCAGTGGCACCTTAGTTGCCAGGGATGACAGAGGTTTCATCTAATGTGCTAACTCTGATCAGTACCTTGATGCTGCTGCCAAGCTCAGTGGGAAAGTGATTAATGCTATCTGCTATGGATGCTAGAGAAGTGTGATGGTACAGGGGCCATATTCTGCCAATTCAAGATAGCTCCATTAGTGTTGAGTACCCATTAAACGATACTCCCTATTTTCCCATACCCTTAGCCACTGGTGCATCCGCCATTCTGCTTTCTGTCTTTATGATTTTGACTAAGTACCTCATATAAGTGGAATCATACAGTATTTGTCTTTACTTAGCATATTGTCCTCAAAGTTCATCCATGTTGTAGCATATGCCAGGCTTTTCTTCCTTTTTAATGCTGACTAATATTCCTCTGTGTGTGTGTGTGTGTGTGTGTGTGTGTGTGTGTGTGTGTGTGTGTGTACGTACATATACACACACATACCACATTTTGCTAATCCATCCATCCATCCATCAATGGACATTTGGGTTCCACATTTTAGCTGTTGTGAACAATGCTGCTATGAACATGGTATATATACAAATATCTCTTCACGGTCCTGCTTTCAGTTCTTTTGGGTATCTACTAAGAAATGGAATTGCTGGATGATATGGTAATTATATTTTTAATATTTTGAGGAACTACCATACTGTTTTCCATAGTGGCTGTACCATTTGACATTCCCACCAATAGTGCACAAGGGTTCCAATTTTTCCACATCCTCACCAACACTTGTTTTCTGTTTGTTTTTTTACATAGGAGTCATACTAATGGGTATGAGGTGGTGTCTCATTGTAGTTTTGATTTGCACTTCCCTAATGATTAATGATATTGAACATATCTTCATGTGCTTATTGGCCACTTGTATATCATCTGTTCGAGTCCTTTGCCCATTTTTGAATCAAGTAAAAAAAAATATTTGTGTTTTAGTTGTTGAGTTTTAGACAGTCTCTATATATTCTGGATATTAATCCCATATTAGATATATGACTTGCAGTTATTTTCTCCCTTTCTATGGATTGCTTTTTTACCCTGCTGATAATATATTTTTATGCACAAAATTTTTAAATTTTCATGAAGTCCAATTTGTATATCTTTTTGTTATCTGTGCCTTTGGTGTCATATCCAAGAAATCATTATCAAATCCAGTGTTGTGAAGCTTCTGTCCTGTGCTTTTCTTCTAGGAGTTTTATTGTTTTAGATATTAATTTAGGTCTTTGGCCCATTTGGAGTTAATTTTTGTATATCTTGTTAGGTAAGGGTCCAACTTTATTCTTTTGCTTGTGGCTATCCATTTTTGCCAGCACCTTTCATTGAAAAAGCTATCCTTTCCTCATTGAACTTACCACCCTTGTCAAAAACTATTTGGTCATATATGCAAGGATTTATTTCTGGGCTTTCTATTTATCCATTGGTTTATATGTCTATCTTTATCCTAATACCACATTATTTTGATTATTGTACCTTTGTATAAGTTATAAAATGAGTTCTCTAGTTTTGTTCTTTCTTAAGGTTGTTTGACTGTGTAGGATCCCTTGAGATTCCATATGATTTTAGGATGGGATTTTCTATTTCTGTAAAAAAAAAAAAATCATTGGGATTTTAATAGGGATCTCATTGAATCTGTAGATCGCTTTGGATAGTATTGACATTTAGACATTAAGACTTCCAATCTATGAACATGGATTGTGTTTCCATTTATTTATGTCTCTAATTTCTTTTAGCAGCATTTTGTAGCTTTCATTGTACAAGTCTTTTACCTCCTTTGTTAATTCCTAAGTATTTTATTCTTTTTTATGTTATTGGAAATGAATTGTTTTTGTCATTTCCTTTTCAGATTGTTCATTGTTTTTATATAAAAATAAAACTGATTTTCGTGTGTTGACTTTATATACTGCTACTTTGCTGAATTCATTTATTCTAAATTTTTTTGTGGAATCTTTAGGGTTTTCTACATATAAAATCATATCATCTGCAAACAGAGATAATTTTACTTTTTTCTTTCCAATTTGGATGCCTTTTATTTCCTTTTCTTGCCTAAATGCTCTGACTAGAACTTCCAGTACTATGTTGAATCGAAGTGGTGAAAGTGGGTATTCTTGACTCGTACCTGATCTTAAAGGATTGCTTTCAGTCTTTTTCCATTGAGTCGGCTGTTCACTGTGGACTTTTCACATATGGATTTTATTTTATAGAGGTAATTTCCTTCTATTGCTAGTTTATTGAGTGTTTTTGTCATGAAGTGGTGTTGAATTTTGTCAGATACTTCTCCTGCATTAATTAAGATGATCATGTGGTTTTTTTCTTTCATTCTGTTGATGTGATATACATTGATAGTTGTATGTTGAACCATCCTTGCATTCCAGGAATAAATCCCATTTGGTAATAGAGTATAATTCTTTTAACATGCTTGAATTTAGTTTGCTAGTATTATATTGAGGATTTTTGCAACAGTACTCATAAAGGACATTGGTATGTAGTTTTCTTGTAGTGTCTTTGTCTGTCTTTAGTGTCAACATTATGCCAATTTCATAGAATGAGTTAGGCAGTGTTCCCGCTTCAACTTTTTGTTAAAGTTTGAGAAGGGTTGGTATTAGTACTTTAAATATTTGGTGTAGAATTCACCAGTGAAGCCATAAGGTCCAAGGTTTTATTTGTTGGGAGATTTTTGATTGCTGATTCACTTTCCTTACTAGTTATAGGTCTCTTCAGATTATCTGTTTCTTTGTGATTTGTCTTGGTAGGTTTTGTGTTTCTAGGGATTTGTCAATTTCATCTAGGTTATCCAATTTTTCATCATACAATTTTTCGTACTACTCTTTTATCCTTTTTATTTCTGTAGAATAAATAGTGATGTCTCCACTTTCATTTATGATTTAAGTAATTTGAGCCTTCTCTCTTTTTAAAAACGCGTTAATTTCCATAGTTTTTTGAGTTTTCCAGTTTCCTTTTGTTATTGACTTCTAACTTATCCCATTATGGTCAGAGAAGATACTTTGTATGGTATCTATATATTTTTTTTTAAAGAAATTTTATTGGGGAACAGTGTGTTTTTCCAGGACCCATCAGCTCCAAGTCAAGTAGCTGTCTTCAGTCTAGTTGTGGAGGGCGCAGTTCTGCAGCCCATGTGGGAATCGAACTGGCATCCCTGGTGTTATGAGCCTGCCCTCTAACCACCTGAGCTAACCGGCCGCCTCAATATCTATCTTTTAAAATCTATTTAGACGTATTTGTAGCCTAACATATAGTCTATCCTGGAAAATATTCCTTGTGCACTTGAAGAGAATGTTTTCTTATCTGCTGTCCGTTTATTCTATCGATTATTGTGAGTGTGGGATAATAAGACTTGGAGATTATTATTATAGAACTGTCTATTTCTCCCTTCAGTTTCATCGTTTTTTTCTTCATGTATTTTGATGGTGAGCCTTTTATACATAGCATATAGTTGGATCATTTTATTCATGCTGCCAATCCCTGTCTTTTAATTGGAGCATTTAATTTACATTTAAAGTAATTACTGGGCTGGCCAAGTGGTGTGTTGGTTAAGAGCTGGCTTGGGACGCCAGAGGGCCCCGGTTTGGATCCCACATATGAGGGCCAGTGACACTGCCCTCTAC